CAAGGTCATAAATCTCATTCTCCCCTACAGTAGAGCTCTGCCCATCAGGAGACTCAGCCCAAGAAACTACTCTGATCTGATTTCTCTCTAGAACATTTGGGACTCCAAACATCCTCCCCCAATTCAAAGGAAAGCATACGTCACTAACAGGGGCTCCGATGACCCCCCAGGGCCTTCACCCCAATGATATCTGGGACCCTACCAGTCTTCAAGTGACAGAAAACACGTACAAATATATTCCAAAATAGCCCCCTACTGCTAAATAGGAAATGGGAACACTTCTGTCATCAGAAGTAGGTTATAAAAATTATTATCTTTCCTCATCATTAGTTTTATGAACTTTTCCTAATAATGAGCTGACTTATTCCCTCATGCAGAAGATTAAAAAATCAATATTGTAAAAGTCAGAGGCAAAAGAGAGGGCAGGAGAGCACACTAAATGTCAAACTGAATTCAGCACACTCGAAAGAAAGTCCTCCAGACAAGGCTACAGGTTCAAGGGTGCAGGGCTTGAGGACACTGGGCAGAGAGAGAAGGCACCAAGGAGAAAGAAGTAGGAGGCCAGCTCATATAGCCGGAGACCATACCACACCCGCCTCCGGGTCCAACCTGGCCCCGAGGCTAGGAGGATGTGCTGTGATCCAAACACTAGAACCTTAAGTGCTCTGACCACCAGGCTCCTTCAATCCGCACATGTGGAAGACTTGGATGAGGAAAAGAAAATTCTCTATGCTTCTGTTCAGGTTCTTCTTTCTCCTTTTATTTAAATATTCTAAAGCACAAGCCCAGTTTTGAAATTATCTCCACTCGAGGCGCCTGGGTGACTCAGTCAGTTAAGTGTCTGACTCTTGATTTCAGCTCAGGTCATGATCTCGTGGTTTGTGAGCTCGAGCCCCACATCAGGCTCCACGGTGCCAGTGTGGAGCCTGCTTGGGATTCTCTCTCTCTCTGCCTCTCTCTCTGTCCCTCCCCCTACCCCACTCACACACGTGCTCACTCTCTCTCTCTCTCTCTCTTTCTCAGAATAAATAAATAAACTTTTTTTTTTTAAAAAAAAGGAATTATCTGGGGCGCCTGGGTGGCTGTCAGTTAAGTGTCTGACTTCGGCTCAGGTCATGATCTCACGGTCCGTGAGTTCGAGCCCCGCGTCGGGCTCTGTGCTGACAGCACAGAGCCTGGAGCCTATTTCAGATTCTGTGTCTCCCTCTCTCTCTGACCCTCCCCTGTTCATGCTCTGTCTCTGTCTCAAAAATAAGTGTTTAAAAAAAAATTTTTTTAAGGAATTATCTCCACTAAAAGTCCCTGCCAACCACAACAACCCAAATGGAAGTGATGGCTGTGGCATCGCTCAGCATAAAGGTGAGTGCCTCATGCCCCTGCTGACATACAAAACAGGGCCCAGTCCTAACTTCCTCTCTCCTCTGTTCGCATTGAGCACTGACTGGTTGAAGCCTTCAAAACCACATTCGTGTGTCCCCTTGCATCTGCTACAGCACCAATCAACAGAAACCAACTCCAGCTAACTGAAGCAAAGGAGAGCTGACCGCAGGTAATCGGCAGGTGATTCGATCCTAAAGAAGGCAGGAGAGCCAGACAGAAACGAGTGGGCGTCGTGGAGGTACGGGAGACAGCAAGACAGCCTCACTAGATGAAGGTCTTCACGAGCAACCCTCGGCTACAGTGAGCAATCCTACCCAGACCTCCGCACTCACTCAAAACAAAAAGGCCTCCGAAAAAGGGTTCGACTGGCTGCCCTTGGGCCCTGGCTATCCCGAGGCCAGGGGAGAAAGGAGATCTAGCTTCCATCAAGGAAGCTGGGCACTGGAATTGCAATCCCACCGAGATAACACACAACAGGAGACGGGTAAATCCCAAAAGAAAACAGGGCACTAACTGCATGGACAGATGGATGCTGGACAGCCAAAAAATGGAACACCCACAAAAGTAGTGAACCAACATTTTCAAAATGAAGGAAGTCACTTGCTTCGCTCTTCCTTAAGAACTCAGGTTCAGAAGAGCATTATCCATCCAGAAACTGGGGGGCGTAGAATGCATCTTAGTTGAAAGTTTTCCTTTATTAAAAAAGAAAACCCACACACCTGTGGTGAAGGTCATTTAAGCCTCTTCCCGCTTGTAAAGGTTCTCCTCCAAGGACAGTCTCAAGGAGGCGGGGACCCAGCCTTCTCCTTTACAGGAGAAAGAAGGGAAGTTGTGAATTCCCTTTCATCATAATTAACACATTCCAGGTGAGAATGAAGAGACACCACATGTGTAGGCTGCAATTTTCCATGCTAGGTGACTGTCCCACGTGGCCAACTTGGTTTGCTCATGCCATATTGATTAACCCTTCATCTCCAGAACGAGGGTCCTTTCAACTTGGCTGTCAGCACCCTGCCGAGGGGTGACAACCTGCCTGCCCCTCAGAGACTCACTGCAAGATTCTCTAAAACCATGTCCTCACCCCAGTTTCTCTCTGCAGCAACTGATTCTTCACCAGGAAGCCACAGGGTTCTAAAGACACAAGTCAGATCACGTCATCATCATCCTGATGAACTCCAGGGACTCCTCCGCGGTTTCAGAGCGATGGCGAGCTATTCTGTGGGTCAAGTTTGCGAGGTGTCTGAGGCCTTCTATGAGGTGGCTTCACGCCTCACTAACCTCTCTCATTGTGTCCCATCACCTCCTCCACACCCACCTGTCTCCCCCCAGATGCTCCCTCAGCCTGGGGGCCCCATATCGCTCAAGGCTGAGTCAAAGTCATGTCTGCTACCAGCAGGTGCACCCCTGCCTTTGCATTCCCAAGCACATCAACCTTACCTCCATTTCACGCTTACTGTCACCAAGTTGCCCTTTTTCTAAGTTTTTGGTTTAAATCTGTCTTCCCCGCTAGACTGAAAATTTCCTAAGAGCAAGGACCCTATATTGTTCATATTTCCCAGAGGGCCTAGCTCAACCAGCATTCCTTCTGTACCTGCCGCAGCTTTCCATGTCTCTGCAGAGGCCTTCCTCTCCACCACAACCCAGGGCACAGTCCCGCGTGGTCTCATTGCGTCCCCAACTTCCTTCTGTGGAGCCCAGGGTACATCAGGCAACCCACCTGAAACAGGTGCTCGCCTCACAGCCCATGGCCTCTGAGGCAGACGATATTAGATGCTGCTACAGCCACTCCTCCATCCCCTCTCCCCACCCTCCTTGCTGTGATTTCATGATTTAGAATAAGAACTAAATATTTAATCTTTATCTACTGTTACTGGCACAGAGCTCCTAAAACCCTTGGAATTTCCAAAGTGATGAGAGAGAGAAAGGTGTCTTTTTTTACATTAACGAGAGGACTTTTACACTGGACCTAAGGATGAGGACTGCTTATCAGTGGAGCCAACCAAATGACCAGAGGGTTGGAACTTTCAGCCATACCTGAGCCCCTGGGAGGGGAGGGGAGCCGGAGGTTGAGTTCCATCACCAATGGCCAACAATTTACTCAATCACACCTAGGTAATGAAGCCTCCCCCCCAGTTTCACCCCGAAACAACTGGGTTTAAAGCGCTTCTAGGTTGGTGAACATGCAGTGGTTCTGGGGGAGTGGTGCACTGGCACAGGACACGGAAGGAAGGTCAACATCCTCTCCCTAAACACCTGGTCCTATGGACCTCTCTCATATGGCTGTTCCTGAGCTAAATCCTTTTATAATCCTTTTAGGAAGTTAAATGTTTCCCTGAGTTCCGTGAGCCACTCTAGCAAATCGGTCAAACAAGGGGGTCGTGGGAACCTCTAATTAACAACCTGTCAGCCAGAGGCACAGGTGATAACCTGGACTTTGACTGGCGTCTGAAGTGGGGGAAGGGGGCAGTCTTGTGCACTGAGCCCTTACCCTCTGGAACCTGAGGACGGAGTTTAACTGTAGGACACCCAGCTGGTGTCAGAGAATTTCTTGGACGTGCGGGGGTTTTCCCACATGGAAACGGAACTGGAAGAATTATTACCGTCAGCCCGGATTCTATCTGGATACCCACCCGCTGCCCCATGTGACTAGAAAGGAGCCCTCGCTTCAATCAGTGGAGCCCCCCCCCGTTCCTCTGCAGAGGACTGGGTTAGGCAGGGGCGCTTGATGCAATTCAGGCCAACGTGATGTCAGAGGCTTTCTGCTGGGGGCTTCCAGGAAAGTCTTCTCTTCTTCTGAGGGTGGCCCCATCTGCAGAAGACCTGGTAGGGAGCAGGGCAGCTATCTTTGAACTGTGGGGGTGTCTGGCCGGAGAGTGCACTGGCACACTGAGGCTGGCAGAGTGGAAGGAGGGGGGGGCTCCATGATGATGCCAGTGAGCCCCTGAATTAGTCAACCCTGGGACATTTCGAGACTTTTGGTATTGTGAAATAAAGCCTTCACTCACGGCAGTAAGAATCCTAACAGTCTCCAATCACTTAAATGTATTAATAACAGTAATGGCAATAATGGGGCGCTCTTATAATCTGCCAGGCACATGCTAAATCCTGGACAGTTATCATCTTCCCTAATCCCTTGGGCAATCCTGTGTGTGTGCAAACGTCACAATCCTCCACCAAGGCTCACAGACACTGGAGGACGGGCCCAAGCTAGTAAGCAGGGAGCTGGGATTCGTACCCAGGCTGCCTACCTTGAAAACTGTGTTCTCTGTCTCATTATCGCATGCCCCCAAGCCCCTAGTCCTCTCCCTTCATACCCTCCTGGCACACATACCCATTACGACTATGAAGTTTCAGAGTGGGACCAGACTGCTGAGCGATCCAGCCCTCACCATATAAACCTGAGCACCCCCGAGACTGAAAATACAGGCCAGAGGCAGCAAAGCAAGTCAGTGGCAGAGCCAGGGCTAGAAGAACTCAAGCCCCTGGTCCCCAAAAAGATACCCTTTCTACAGAGATGAAGCCAGGCCCCAGGGCCTCATACAGATCAGGCTCCAGGGCCTAACCTCCACCTCCCAGAGCCGCCGGAGCACAAAAGGCCAGCTCAGAAGACCTGCACTCACCAGCTGGGTTGACTTCCGCTTGTCCTGGTCAACGCTGCCCTCCCCCCGCTGCATGGACGCACTCCTGTGCTTGGTGGCTGCCTCTCGTTCCCTCGTCACCACCTGGAACAACTCGTCCTGGACCTTGGCCTGCTCCTGTTTATACCTGTGCCGGAAGAGAGATGCAGATGGCGTGACCGGCAGAAGGTAGCCAAGAAAAGGTCTGCGTCCACACCGCAGCTGGCAGGGGCCAGGGGATCTCTGAGGCCAGCGGGAGAGGATCAGGAATCTGTGACAGTCCCCAAGGCAAGGGGATGCAGTGATACTTTCTCAGCCAGGACGGATTAGGAAAAGAAGGAGACCTGACCTCCAGGTAAGGAATCAGCCAGCCACGTGCCAAACCAGAGAATCTCAGGGCACAGGTTCAGATCCCTGGCTAGCCACTCCTACACAGTGGGCAGGCGGGGTGGGAAGCCCCACTTTCTTCTGCTTCCACTTGAAAGCTTGAACAGTTTAGATGACAGCAGTCTTTTGTTTGGAACATTGAACTCTCCCGTCCTGAATGCAATCCTACCCTTTGACCTATTTCTGGGCATTCTGCCTAGTAAAATAATCCTAAAGACAGAAAAAAGTTATTAGCACCAAGATGCTCTTACAAGATTATTTACTATAGCGTAGAAAAATGCAAACAACTTAAGTGTCCAATATCAAGGTCAAGTTAAAGAATATATGGTACAATGGTATACTATATCATCATTAGACCAATATACACTTAGATTTGTCAATAGGCTGAATCTAAAAAGTGAGAAACAATAAACAATACTTTTAGAAATAAAATTGTTGGGGCACCTAGGTGGCTCAGCAGATTAGGCGTCCAACTCTTGGTTTCGGCTCAGGTCAGGATCTCACGGTTCCTGGGATCAAGCCCCACATTGGGTTCTGTGCCGACAGCAAGGAGCCTGCTGGGGAAATTCTCTCTCCCTCTCTCTCTCTGCCCCTCCCCTGGCACGTGTACATACATGCTCTTCTCTTTCTCTCTCTCTCTCTCAAAAATAAATGCATAGGGGCGCCTGGGTGGCGCAGTCGGTTAAGCGTCCGACTTCAACCAGGTCACGATCTCGCGGTCCGTGAGTTCGAGCCCCGCGTCGGGCTCTGGGCTGATGGCTCAGAGCCTGGAGCCTGTTTCCGATTCTGTGTCTCCCTCTCTCTCTGCCCCTCGCCCGTTCATGCTCTGTCTCTCTCTGTCCCAAAAATAAATAAACGTTGAAAAAAAAATTTAAAAAATAAAAAAATAAAAAAAATAAATGCATAAACTTAAAAAAATCAAATTGTTTACAAAGCAGGTGTAACAAATGGAAAACAATTATAAAGCTATGTAAAAAAACAACATAAAATTATATATAACTTTATTTAAAAAAACTATAAAAATATATATAACTTGAAAAAATAATCCTAAATTAGAGGAAAGAAGACATTTGAAAGAAACACTTCAAAATATTAAGAGGGGTTATTCTGAGACGATGAATCTATGGGTGATTTTTTCCATTTTATATACTTCCCGAATCTTTCATTAGCATGTGTTAGGTGAACATTTTTTAAATATTTAAAAGTACAAAAAATAAACAAAAAGGTTCAGGTTAGTTATTCTTGGAGAGGCCTCTTAGGATCAGAGAGGGGACATTCTTAGAATGTGGGTTTCAATCCATGACTATGGAACAGACCCAGCTCAGGTGACCTCATTGAGATCGAGCCACCCGACTATGGCTGACACTGGGCCCCCCAAGCTACCTCGCTGGGTCCTCTGTTACAAAGGCCAATGTCCTAAAGGGTGTAGAGGAAGTCAATCAATAACAACCAGTTAACGTTCACTGAGAACTCCCAGGTGTTGGGCTTCAGTGCTTTATTAACATATTTAATCCTGACAACACCCCAGTCAAAGAGATCCTCCAGTTATGGCCTTCGCCAAGGCCTAGAGAAATGCAGTGATCTTCCCAGGTCACTAGTGCAGCACACAATCAGGATGCAGACCTGCACTCTGAGGGCTTCTGTGCCTTAGCCACCATTTTAGCCTCAGGGGAGGGCACGAAGGGCCCGGTTCAGAGGTGTAACCAGCTCTCCATGGTTGTGGCCTATGTGGATGGAAAGTCACCAACAGCCTGGGTCGGTCCATCTAGGCAACTAGTAAGAATTGTGTGGGCTCTTTTTCTTTCTTCTTCTTACCTCTAAAAATATGCCAGCACACATACACAGGCACAGAGGGTCCACCCACTCAGCTACTTAGTCCTAGTTCCCCCCCACCCCCACCCCTATTCTTCTCTCTCTTTTCTCCTCTTCTCCCCAGCTCGAAAGTTTCTTCTGCTCATAGTTTGTTTCTCAAAAATAAATTTTTGAAAAAATTAAAAATAAATGGATGAAAGGCAACTAAAAGGAAGAGTGAAACAGCGTGCAAGGAGTTGGTGAGCCCCCTTTCCCAGAGTGGGGAGACATCACTGTTTTGAGTCCTGGGGAGGACAGGCATGAAAGACTAGGGAAGACCTCCATGAGACCCCCTGAGGCATAGGTGGTGGCCAGGGCAGAAGAGGCAGAGTAGAGAAGCCCCATGGCAAAGCTCCCAGCCCCATGACCTGGCACCACTGCAGCTGCTGTTTGGAGAAGTGTGCAGTAGCACCCCTTGGGGTGATATGGGCCCCTCAAAAGCCCTCGATGGGTGCCTAGGGATTACACAGAGGTAAACCCCAGTGCTGCACCCAGATCCCAAGCCCTCCCAAACAGGTTTGGGTCCTCCCCTCATGAGTCTGAAGTTTGTTAAACAAATAGAGCCCACGCCCTATTAGTAGACTGAATTGTCTCAGCATCCCACACTACTAGCCAGCTCAAAAGAGAAGATGGGCTTCACCTCAGGCAGCCTTATTTTCCCTCAGTCAATTGTCTTTTTCTCTTATGAAGTTTTGCAACAATTTAAAAAATTTGTTAGCGTACAGGCGTGTGTTGTAGAAAAGCTGGGAATCAATAGTCAACATGAGAGAAAGTTAATCACACCGAACCCAAAACCCCAGAGAATCTGAATACAGAAATCACTATGATAACAGATTGAGACTAAAATGCAGGACACACATGCATAGAAGAAGAATTTACAGAAATGTTCTCAGTGCAAAATGCTTTGTACGTGCAAGCTTCCTGGTAGTTTGAAATAAGCGCAGCGCCTGGGATCAAGCTTTTCAGGTCACATGTCCTCAAAGTGGGTCCTGTGAAGCCTGGTTTGCTCCTGCTGCCAGCCTGGGCCGATTGGCCTCAGAGCCCGGGAGCCTGCTCCCATCTCTGTGTGTCTCCCCCCTCTCCTAAGTTCCTCCCCCTGCTCCACATGCTATTCTCCTGTCCAAAATAACAAAAAAAGTTATTGAAAAAAAATTAAAAAAAAAAAAACGCCAAATGTGAAAAGAATCAGAAGAAGTAAAAGTGCATGAGTCTTCCCTTAAAGAGCTCCACTGCGACTGTTCCCAGAAAAGTCCTTCACCAATCGGAAGACTTTGAAACTATCAGGTACTGCGGTTGTAAAACTTTTCTGCAGGAATGAAATCCAGTGAGGAACCAGGATCAAGCATCAGCACCACTGCTCCCCCAGCTGCCTGGCGCATCGTTGGACATGATCAGACAGAATTCCAAAATTATAATCTTTGGAGCTGCACTTGCCTTCCAGCCCGGGTTGTAAACAAACTACAAGCTCACCAGACAAACTAACCGACGCCCTTTTGGCATGCATGCCTCTGGAGAGCTAAGAATGTTTCGTGGTTTTTGGTTTTTTTTCTGGCTTTTTTAGAGCCGTAAAAAACAACAATGACAAAAAGAATATGCACAGAGGCCATGTGGCCTGCAAAAAGTAAAATATTTACTCTTTTGCCTCTTCAATATAGAAAGTGTGCCAATCCCCTGATCTAATCTAGAAAAAGCTAGACCAAGAAGATTTTAGGGAAGCAAAGAAAGGGGCTGTGGATGACATGCCCATTTTTTTTTTCTCTTCAGATGATGGCTTTTCATCTAGGTGTTTAATAAACAGACTTCCATGGGAATTTAGGATTCTATCTGTAGCTCATTGGGAGGAAGTGTCAGATGGTGTCAATCGAGTCCCGAAAGCCACACACAGCCAAAAGTTCTAAACAACAGCGATGTTAAGTCGCTGCCCCCAGGCTGCCAGGCCTCTCAGCTGCATTATCAAAGAGTGCGCGGCCTGACCTCCGGGCCTGAGTCACCAGCCCACCTTTCTCGGGCCTGTCCACACAAGTTAAACCCAAAGTTCAGGTGCCCTCCTGGGATTAGGGGAGTCACGTAGTCGCCTAGTCGCACTCCGTGACACTGAAAGCTGGGCTGCTAGGTTTTCAGAGCATCTGTTTTATTGTTTGAAAAGGAGAGACTCAGGAGCTGCTGTCCGGTACTCATGCTTCCACCTATTTGCAGGGGCACTGCCCTGTACCCCCCTTTTCATCCACTTGAGTTTCCTCATTCCCTACATCCCAGCTCCTTAAAATTGCTGAGCACCAATATGAGACCGTAAACATCTTGCCACAGCCTCCCCTATCCTCGAGGAGCTTGTGTTGAGGAACAAGACTGATCTAAGATGGTGGAGGGGAACTAGGAAGAAGGGGTGAAGCTATAATGAAACCAAAATAAATGGTCCACCTCACTCAGAGTTCAGAAACCTGCAACTCAAAAAAACTTCCAAATTCGGACATTTCCTCAAATCCTACAGATTTCAGAGACCTAATGTAGGCAGCAGTAGAGGAGTCTGAACAATAAAAGATCAACCCCCCCCACTGTCACAAGAAACTGGAAAGCCTTGGAAGCAGACAGCCATTCTTGGGCAAGTCCTCAGGGTGAGGGGCCACATCCAGGCAGAGAAGTAAATCACAGTTTCTGTCCCAGCAGAAGAAGTGATTTGGTCCCAACTTCTTCATCTGCTATTTCAGGCCTTTTCCCATCCACCGGCCCAGTGGAAGAAAATTTTCCCATCTTTGAGGAGTAAGAAAACCCTCTCTGAAGGTCATCAGACGGTGGCAGAACTGCATCTCAGGCGCACACCTGCTCAAGTCACACCTTCCCTTGTCAATATCAAGAGGGCCAGCGGGCGCTGTCCTCACCCACTCCCCTCGGGAGCCTCCCGCCATTAGCAGC